GCATAACTGGATATCCATCTGCAAAAATCTGAAACAAGACCCATACCTCACACCATGCACAAAAACTAACTCAAAATGGATCAAAGACCTAAATACAAAATCTAAAATGATAAAAATCATGGAAGAAAAAATAGGGACAATGCTATGAGCCCTAATACATGGCATACACAGAATACAAAACATTACTAACAATGTACAAACACCAGAAGAGAAACTAGATAACTGGGAGCTCCTAAAAATCAAACACTTAGCTCATCAAAAGACTTCACCAAAAGAGTAAAAAGACAACCTAAGGACTGGGAAAAAAAAATTGGCTATGACAAATCCGATCAGTGTCTAACCTCTAAAATCTACAAGACACTGCAAAACCTCAACAACCAAAAGACAAACAACCTAATTAAAAAATGGGCAAAGGATATGAACAGGCACTTCGCCAAAGGAGACATTCAGGCGGCTAACAGATATATGAGGAAATGTTCACAATCATTAGCCATTAGAGAAATGCAAATCAAAACTACAGTGAGATACAATCTCACCCCAATAATGCTAGCATTAATCCAAAAAACACAAAATAATAAATGTTGGAGAGGTTATGGAGAGACCGGAACACACTTATACACTGCTGGTGGGAATGTAAAACAGTACAACCACTTTGGAAATCGATTTGGCGCTTCCTTAAAAAGCTAGAAATAGAAGTACCATACGATCCAGCAATCTCACTCCTTGGAATATATCCTAGAGAAATAACAGCTGTCACACGAATAGATATATGCACACCCATGTTCACTGCAGCACTGTTCACAATAGCAAAAAGATGGAAACAACCTAGGTACCCATCAACAGACGAATGGATAAACAAATTCTGGTACATTCCCGCAACAGAATACTACACAATGATAAAAAACAACAATGAATCTGCAAAACATCTCATAACATGGATGAATCTGGAAGGCATTATGCTAAGTGAAATTAGTCTCAACAAGGACAAATATTGTATGAGACCATTATTATAAGAACTCAAGAAGAAGTTTAAACACAGAAGAAAATATTCTTTGATGGTTACAAGGATGGGGAGGGAGGGAGAGGGGCGTTCACTAACTAGACAGTAGATAAGAATTATCTTAGGTGAAGGGAAGGCCAACACATAATACAGGGGAAGTCAGCACAACTGGACTAAACCAAAAGCTAAGAAGTTTCCTGAATACAACCAAACACTTCGAGGGACAGAGCAGCAGGGGCAGGAGTCTGGGAACCATGGTTTCAGGGGACATCTAGGTCAATGGGCATAACAAAATTTATTAAGAAAATGTTCTGCATCCTACTTTGGTGAGTGGCATCTGGGGTCTTAAAAGCTAGCGAGCGGCCATCTAAGGTGCATCAATTGGTCCCAACCCACCTGGAGCAAGGAGAATGAAGAACACTAAAGACACAAGGAAAATATTAGCCCAAGATACAGAAAGGGCCACATAAACCAGAGACTCCATCAGCCTGAGACCAGAAGAACTAGATGGCACCCAGCTACCACCAATGACCGCCATGACAGGGAATACAACAGAGTCCCTGATGGAGCAGGAGAAAAGTGGGGTGCAGAACTCAATTTCTAGTAAAACGACCAGACTTAATAGTTTGAGACTGGAAGGACCCCTGAAGACATGGGCCCCAGACTCTCTGTTAGCCCAGAACTGAAAGCATTCCTGAAGCCAACTCTTCAGACATACATTAGACTGGATTATAAGACATAAAATGATACACGTGAAGAAAGTGCCTCTTAGCTCAAGTAGATACATGAGACTAAATGAGTAGCTCCTGTCCGGAGGCAAGATGAGAAGGCAAAAAGGGACAGGAGCTAGTTGAACGGACACGGGACATCTGGGGTGGAAAGGAGGAGTGTGGTGTCACATTACAGGGAGAGCAACTAGCGTCACGTAACAATGTGTGTATAAATTTTCGTATGAGAAACTAACTTGAACTGCAAACTTTCACTTAAAGCACAATTAAAAAAAAAAAGAGCCAAATCTTCAAACTTTTATGAAATGGTGAGGACCATCTAGCTATTGCATCTCATCATTCCAACAGTGAAACATTCTACTTAAGCTAACCTTCAACAGCATTAATTATAAATTATGTGTCTACTTTCATCATTCTCCTCCTGTTGGCCTTATGACTTCATTTGTTCCATGTTATACAGACATCTGGTGGCACAGTGGTTAACAGCGCAGCTGCTAACCAAAAGGTCAGCAGTTCAAATCCACCAGCCACTCCTTGGAAACCATATGGGGCAGTTCTACTCTGTCCTTTAGGGTCGCTATGAGTCAGAATCAACTTGACGATGAGTTTTTTTTTAAATAGTTTAATAACATTTCTTCATATCTACTCTTAAACCAACATTAAAAATGGTTTTATTTCTAATACATCTATAAGTTATGTGATCCAAATCTTTTCTCCTAGCCTCTGCCTTGACTAGATTTCCTTCTTTCACTGAAACCAGGGTAAACAGAGTCAAGCCTAGTCCCAGTAGAGATATGAGGCCAAGCGCAAATCATCCAATGGACTCTTCCTATTCCTGACATGCTTATATAGTTAAACCAGATAAGATAAACACCAAGCACAAGAGAGAAAAAGTCACAGAAATGGGGAAAATAGTTACATCCTGAAGTATGTGTAGAAGGGAGGAGGGCAGACCCCCAGTTTGCCATGAAGATGTGGTAGGAATGAGGATAAGGTGACGGGTGACATGTTGGCTAGACTGTACACTTCTTGAGGGTGAGGGCCATATCTTATCATCTTTATATCCCCATGATCCATTACAGTGCATGCCCCAGTGTAGGTGCTCAATAGATGTTTGCTGAATAAGTCAGAGGCATGTCTGGCTCAAGTCTTTTTTAGTATCTACTGGGGACACCCTCTACCAAAAGTCTCTCTTCCTGTCTCCCCACATCACTTCCCAGTTCCAATAATCTCATGCAGTGATGGTCATATACCTCATAGGAGATATATGTACACGTTTAGATCAGTTCTATCAGAGTGTAGTTTGAGCAGCCTTACCCGAAGAGCATGTTTGCTGGCACAATACCCAGTGGCAAGGGGCGCAGATATGATACCCATGAGGCTGTTGACGATAACAATCTTCCCTTGCTTCCTCTCAATCATGTGAGGCAGAACACACTTTGTCAAGGACACCGTCCCTAGGTAGTTAAGGTCTATTAGCTCCTTGTAGACATCCAGGCTGGTGTCCACAAACAAAGAACGCTGAGATCGTCCACCATTGTTGACCAGAATGTCAATCTAGTTAAATAAAATTAGAAAAGGGACACTTTCGGTATAACTTGAAGAATCAACAGAACAATGCTGTAGTTCTAGAAGTGAGCAATTTAAACAAACAAATTAAAGAGAGGGAAAAAAAAGAATAAAATTAACTACGGAATTAAATTCCCATTTTAAGTGACTTTATGAAAGGTTACGAACATCATAAACATCAAAGCAACAGTGAACTTTTAGCTTCCTCTGTTCTACATGGAGAAATTAGTACTTGTTAGGGTATGAAAAGTACCCTAAAGCCAACAACTCACAGAGATTAAGAGGCGCAACTCATGGAGCAGCTGTCACTGCATGGATCCTGTTTGCCTAAAGCCCCTTTAATGATAGCATCACAGATGGGAATCTCATGCAGCTACTTCAAAGCACAACCATATCAATCCAAATGCTACTTACTTTACCAAACTCCTGGAGAACAACTTTGGTAGCCGCTTCATGGGAACTTGTGTTGGTGAGGTCAAGGGGCAAAACGAGTATATCTTTTCCTTTTAAACTGCCATTCTCTAAACAAAGATACTTAAAAATTAATGTGGAAGTCACGCCATCATTCAATCATGCTCCTTGCTACTTGTATTATTTAACAAGAATTGGCAACTAACTCTCATTTCTGGGTGACCCTGAGGACTTCTCTCAGTGATGAAAAAGAGGACTGGTGGTAATATGGCAACACCTTATCAGACAAAAAGCTGACTGGGTTCACAGAAAGTGGAATGGCTCAATTCAACTTGAAAATGTAGTCTAACCTTGAAACAGACTGTAGAAATCAAGCTTATACTACAAGCTAAAAAGAGTGAACATTTTAGAACAATTTATTTAGAAGTATAGAAGCACAATTTGTTTAGTGATCAACTCACAAAGATTAGTTGCTCTTTTACACACATTCTTTTTTAATTATGTTTAAAATCAGTAAGACGCTCAGAGTCTGACAGCTAAATGACATATACAAGCTTCTCTCCAGAGGTTAAAATTCCAGGAGGCAAACAAAGATGTGACGGTGAAGGTTGTGTGTCAGCTTGGCTGGGCCATGGTTCTCAGTGGTCTGGCAGTTATGATGTTTGGCAGCTATGTAATGATGTAATCACCTCTATGATGAGATCTGCTATGAGCAGTCCATCAGTTGAAAGGGAGTTTCCTTGGGGGTGTGGCCTGCATCCAATATATGTGGACTTTCTGGCAAAGCTCACAGGCTTTTGCTCATTCTGGATACCACAGCTGGCTCCTCATCTGACCTCTGGATCTTGGGACTTAAGCTAGCAGCTTGCCTGCCGATCTTGGGATTTGTCAGCCTTCGCAGCCTGTGAGCCAGCAGCCTGCCATCTTACCTACCAATCTTGGGACTTGTCGGCCTCTGCATCCTGTGAGCCAGAGGCCTGCTGTCTGACCTGCCGATCTTCAGTTTGCCAGCCCATACAGCTACATGAGCGAGGAGAAACCTCCAGCCTGACCCACGGACTTGGGACTGTTGAGCTTCTATGACCGCATGAGCCATTTCTCTCTCTCTCTCTCTCTCTCTCTCTATATATATATATACCCAAAAACCCATTGCCACTGAGTTGATTCCGACTCAGAGTGACCCTATAGGACAGAGTAGAACTGCCCCATAGAGTTTCCAAGGAGCGCCTGGTGGATTCAAACTGCCAACCTTTTGGTTAGCAGATATAGCCCTTAACCACACCACCAGGGTTTACACACACACACACACACACACACACACACACACACATACACACACACTTCAGTGATTTTGCTTCTCTAGAGAACCCAGCCTAAGACTGGCCCTTTTTTATTTCTGTTCGTCAAAAGAACAATTGAAACTAATTTTCTTGGCCTCCAACCTTGAAATAACAAAGTAATGCCAATAAGAAAAACAAAGAAAGTAGAGAAAAAATAAGAGGTATAAAGGCTTTACGGGCAAATGAGTAGACTGACAAACATCAAATGTATTAAAAGAAATGAAAATGTTCGCACCAGGGAGCTGACAGATAAAAGGAAAACAATCAGCTTCATTCTAGCTAAGAGACGCTGACATGGCTCATCTATTCTGTCAGTGTGGGACTTACAAGTCACAGTAGTGCAGGAGCAACTACCATAAGAAGTGGCCCAGTACAATGACACAAGAAGCCTTTGAAAGCAGTATCGTGAAAGAGGCCTTGTGGCCTTGCTAAGTGATAACCATCTTGGGGTGGTTAGCTCAATTAGCAAAGTTAAAGATTTTAAAAGCATGACAGGTAGGTACATGACTAAAAATGGTCTGCTGAAAAATTCAAAATTATCTCAGTTAGGTATTAAATCTCCCATAACAAATAACTATATTATTTGAGGCTGCTTTCAATGTGAACATAACTACACCAAACACAAACAAGCAAAAATACTAACACTGTTGCCCTATATATGAAAATGAAAGCTATTACTCAAGTTGCATTTTCTTATATCTAATTCCATTCCTGCTCTTTTCTCCTTTATAACAAAAAAATCCTACATTGTTCCATGTGACTTTAATATTTGACATTTTAGCAAAATTAGTAAGGATCCTCTCTAACTAAATTTTATGGTTACATACATACATACCATTCATAAGAACCAGACTGTTCTTTCTCTCAGACAAGAACGTAAGTCACCTGGCCACTAAGAATCCACCAGCATTTGAGAGAACTGGTGGTGACTCCCCAATGCCAAGAGTCAATGCAACAAGACAAATAGGTGGCACAAAAAGAGAAGAAAAAGGGAAGGGCAGCTAGTTGAGAGACAACAAAAGAAAGAGGTTTAGGTCAAAGCACTTGGAAGGTTAGGAGCTAGAGAGTTCTGCCCAGGAAAATCCTACTCTTACCTCTAATACTGGCAAAACTGTATTTGAGTTTGGATTCTGGTTACCTAGGATTTACTTCTAAGAAGCACTGAGTGTTGTTTTAGATTTACTTACCAAGGCATTTTCTTTTCACCCTTTCCAGCTCTTCCACTCTTCTGGCTGATAGCACCAGAGAAACTCCTAGTTTAGACAGCTGGTAAGCCAGCTCCTCACCAATTCCACTTGATGCTCCAGTCACCCATACCACCATATCAGTCAGCTCCCATTCTATGGAGAAAGGAGTGCGGATTGAGGTGAGAAAATATATTATGGACTATACCTATAAATTAAAGATGAGGGGAGCTTTAAAAAAACACCATTAGACATGAAGACATAATGTCTGGAGCTTAAACGTTTAAATATCCTAAGGAAATCTCCTACCTAATAAAAAAGAGTAGGAACACAAACCATATTTGTAACAGTTATCAGTACATTATCTTTTATATCTAGACTCTTGGCCTTTAATGTCTACCAACCAGCAGGCAACAGCAGCAGTTCTGCCTTCTGGAATCAGAAAGAATAAACCAAGCCTGTCTTCCCGTGACAACCCCTCATGTATCTGAAGACAGCTGTGAAGTCCTCCCTAAATCCTCTCATCTCTTACTTCTCTGAAGCTAAATAAACACCTCCAATTTCTGATACCTTCCCTCACATGACATGGCATCAGGTTTCCTCACTATTCTGCTCACACCCTCTGCACAAGCTCTAGTTGGTCAGTGTTCCTAATGAAGGGAACTGGCCAAAGTAGGAGCCAGGATTCTGTGGGGTCCGGACAATGCAGAGGAGGGTGAGATGACTAAATCGCTTCCTTTGTCCCCCAGAAGGTAGGCTCTGTGAGGGTCTGGACTGTGGCTTGCTCAGTCACTGCTGTGTCTCCAGTGCCCAGCACATACAAGCAAGTGTTCAGGAGACATCTGTTGTTTGCAGTTGTTGCTTCAGACACTAAATGTCAACAAACGCAGCCCAAGCTTGCCTAATCTTTTCTGGCAGCCACTTCACAGTTGACTCATACTGAGGTTACTGTCAACAAAACCCAAACTTTCCTCACATGTGCTGCTGTTGAGACTGTTTTCTTACCCTGGACTTGTGCCTTAATCTTAATATACTTTCTGGATCTAAGTGTAATATCTAAAATTAAACAAACAAACAAAAAGAAAACAAACCCGTTGCCGCTGAGTCGATTCCAACTCATAGTGACCCTATCAGACAGAGTAGAACTGCCCCATAGTTTCCAGGGAGTGCCTGGTAGATTTGAACTGCCAACCTTTTCGTTAGCAGCCATAGCTCTTAACCACTACACAAGCAGGTTCCATCTAAAATTAGTCACCCTTAAATTTCAACATGTGAAATATATGCTTAGAAATGCAGAGGATTTCTCTAGAAAGATACCCAAAACCAAACCAAACCCGATGCCATTGAATCCATTCTGACTCATGGCAACCCATGTGTTACAGAGCAGAACTGCTCCATAGGGTTTTATCGCCAGGCCTTTCTTCTGAGGTGCCACTGGGTGGGTTCGAACCGCCAACCTTGAGGTTAGCAGCTGACTGCCAACCACTTGTGCCACCCAGGAACCTAGAAGGACAGGATACACAAGAGGCAGGAAATGGTAGTTACCTCCAGAAAGACATACTGGGTAACTGGGGAACAAGGGTCAAAAAAGCTTTACTTGTCACTGTATATCCTTTTGTACTTTTAAAATTTTATATTTTTGAAATATATTTTATATTATGTTAGTGTTATCTATTTTTTTAAGTGACAAAAAAAGTATAAACTTACAAAGAAGTCAAGGAATTTTTTTTTCTACCTTGATAAAAGTCGGCCCATCTTTCCAGCCTATCTCCAGGTTCACTTAACCTTTTTTTCATCATTGCCCCCCTGCGCACAAGGAGTCTTTTTTAGATATTTTTTTCCTAATCACTCACTCATGAAATTTTAATACCACAGACATACTGTGTATCTGTTTACGTACTATACATATATCTGTGCATTAAAGGAGTATGTATTAAGCTAAAAGTTAAAATTTAAAAGCTACTAACATTTAACTTTCTATCTGTATCTTCTGAGTAACTTACTTACTTACCGCAGTGGTTAAGAGCTTGGCTGTTAACCAAAAGGTTGGCAGTTTGAATCCACCAGCTGCTCCTTGGAAACCCTATAGGGCAGTTCTACTCTGTCCCGTAGGGTTGCTGAGTTGCAATGGGCTCAACAGCAACGGGCTTGGTTGTTTTTTTTTTTGTTTGTTTTTTTAATAATAATAGCAATGTAATCAAATTTAAAAAAGAATCTGCAAATTCTTATTTTTCTAGCAAAATTAGTGGCACAATAGTCATTTAGATATTGTCAACATTTTTCCTTCTCAGTACTTGACATAATTAATGATGGTTGAATAACTTTGGTAGAAATAAATAATACAATATAAACTATTTTTACTTAATTCTCAAAGTCCAAGTTAACACTAAAGCACCGAAGTTCCAACATAAACGACATCCGCAAGGGAGCCAATGGCAGCCAAGAGGCACCCCCAGTCCACCTCTAGAGCTGATTTCCAGGTGGAGCAACTGATGGGAAGTCCACCAGTCATGGCCATCTATTTGCCAACGTTTGGTAGCACTAATCTTGCATACATTTTGTGTATCTTCCATGAACTCGTTGATGTCAATGCTGCTCATGTATATGATACCCCAAAGAGAAATGAAATGAAATACTAAGAAATAAAGATTTTGTCAGGTAGGGTTGAACTTTGGAGGGACACAAATCAGAGTAATATCTAAGACTTATCCGGTCCTGAAGGACCAATTTTCACCTTCTTGGGAGCAACATACACCACTGTCCCCATCAGCCCCACCAACCCCACCTCCACAACACTTGTAGAAAGCATCCATCATCTGAGCTACTAGCTAGCACTTCTAGCAAACCTTATCATATGCTCCGGGTATTTTCGTACAAAACCCTTGGTCCAGGAAAAACCATTCCCCTCCCCATCTCTCCCCCTCTTCCAGCCCCTGTGGATCCAAAGCCTGGCTTGGGCAGGTCACTTAATTTCTCTGAGCATCTGTTTCCTTACCCAGAAAATAGGCTAATTATGCCTACTTCGTAAAGGTTGTTGTAAAGGTCAGAGGTCATGAGTGTACAGAGCACACTGCCTAACACACAGAATGTGTTTAATATTAAGTAAGGCACAGGTAAAAATAGAATAGGCAGAATGCCCCTTGGTATGCCAATAATGATTTTGTTCTGGGCAAAGTTCTAATTCTGTTTTTTCTGTTATACTTTTATTCCAATGTGTAGGTAGGTGGGTGACTCCGGAGTCTCAGATTTTGTTTAAAAACTCCAAGAGAGTAAGAAGTGGAGGATAAACAACTTCCGGAAGTGGAAAAACCGAGCCCTCCAGCCCTCACAAAGGAGGCTCTCTTACAAACACGCAGGGGGAACTCGCATTGTTTCTGAAAGTACCGTCCTCTGGCACCAGCGCTCTCAGTTTGGCAACGCCTGAAGAGGTTTCCTAGACTGGAAGACAAGTTCATGCCGTCTTCCGACAAGGAGAGAAGACAAAGGGCAGAAGGCCTCCTTAGCCCCGGCCTCTTCCTCCCCCACCCACAGCCCCTGGAAAAGGCGCAGCGGCCCCTCTCGGAGCTCCAGGCAATCCGGAACCAGGGAGGTCCCGGCGCGCCCCGGCCGCTCGGAGCCTGGCCTCCCATTCCGGAGAGGTCCCGGCGGGGGCCTCACCTGGGCGTCTTCCCTGCCACTCGGCCCACATGAGGGTCAGGTCGCCGTCCGCCCGCAGGAAGCGCAGCAGCTGCACCACGAGCAGAAGCAGCGCGCACAACGCAAGCAGCAACCCCCAGCTCATCGCGGCCGCACTCCCGCAGATCCTCCACAGGTAGACTGGCTGAGCCCGAGCCGCGCGGCAGCGCGTAAGGATCACAGCCTCGGGCCGAACAGCGCCACCCGGGCTACGCCCAGCGTGCTGGCAGGAAGAGGGGCGGCCCCAGCGCGTCCGGATCCTCCCCAGAGGCACGCGGGACCGCACTTCGCCGGCGAGAAGTACGCGCGCGAGGCCGAACGCGGGCAATTGCTTGAAGGGTTGCCGATAGGCACAAAGGACGTGCTTGGCTTTATTAACTATACATTGGGAGCCCTGGTGGCGCAGTGGTTATGAGCTTGCCTGCTGGCCAAAGGTCGACAGTTCGAATCCGTTAGCCGCTCCTTGGAAACCCTTTGGGTTGGAATCGACTTGATGGCAACAGATTACTGTTGACAGACAATACTACAGGATTTGTAAAGGCAAAAATGATATTTACTTATTGCGAGGGCAAATATTTAATGTTTTCAAGGCTCAGGGTGTGTCTGCAAACCAAAAATCAAAACCAAACCAAGGGGAACACAAACATTCCAATCTTTGAAGGAGGCCTTCTTCTTCTCTTTGCCTTCTTATCTTTTTCTTTTTTTAGCTAGATGAACTGAACAAACCATTAGATAGATTTTTTTTCCCGCTCCATCGAATTAACTCAATCCCTGAGTTGAGTTGGCCTCTGTCAACTAAAATCTGGAAACCAAATAACACTTGACCATTGATGGAGGAGGAAGTGTTGCTCTAGCCATGGTTGTAGGTGCACTGCAGGGGTAGGAGGGCAGGCTGGGGAGCTGCACTCATCCAAGTTGGAGTGAGTAGCTTTGCCTTGCCCTTTGAAACCTTCAGTAAATTGTGTCTTTATCTGTACCCCTTTTGGTACCCATAAACAATATATTGTTGTTGTTGTTAGATGCCTTCCAGTTGGTCAGACTCATAGCGACCCTGAGTATAAACAGAACAAAAGGTTCCTGGGTTCTGTGCCATCTTCACAATAGTAGGTATGTTTGAGCCCATTGTTGGAGCTGCTGTGTCAATCCAACTCATTGGGGGTCTTCCTCTTTTTTGCTGACCCTCCACTTTACCAAGCATGATGTCCTTCTTCAGAGTTTGGTCCTTCCTGATAACATGTCCAAAGTATGTGAGATGTAGGCTTGCCATACTCACCTCTAAGGAGCATTCCGCGTGTACTTCTTCCAAGACAGATTTGTTCGTTCTTTTGGCAGTCTGTGGTACATTCAATATTCTTTACCAACACCATTATTCAAATGCATCAATTCTTCTTTGGTGTTCCTTTTTTCATCGTCCAGCTTTCGCATTCATATGAGGCCGTTGAAAAGACCATGGCATGGGTTGGGCGCACCTTAGTCATCAAAGTGACATCTTATAAGCAATGTGGGGAACTTTAAATGAAAAACACCTATGAAATGCACAGGGCCTGGTACACAGTAATTGTATTTATTCTTTTGTAATGATTTTTTAACCATTATTATGAATTATTGTTTATTGTTTCCATTGTAACTGTCATTTCTTTACTAGAAGCAGAAATTTCTGAGGTTGAATTTCTCATGGGTGAGTAGAACAAATGAAGATAAGTTTGCACTGCAAAGATGTTAGTTATAATTAAATTGCCTATAGATTATAGTAACTGGTTCTTTAAACATATCATTGAATTCCAAAAAGACTTTTGCCTCTATTCATGTAAAATGAAATTTCTAATGCTGTTGAAGTTTGTATATTAATTTGTTTTCCTTTTCCAGTGTAAAACTGCTGGTGAGGTGAAATGACTGTCTGGTTTTATCATAGCTTGTAAATTAATAAATGGGATATTTAATTCTGTGCATAAGTTTACAACAAGTATGTACACTGGAATGATGGAGACAGTCATATTGGAAAATCATCACAAAGAAATGCAATGATATATTTTTGAGACTTCGATGTGATGTCATTCCTCTTTAATTTGTCCTTCCCAGCATAGTAGACCATATGATTGTCTGATTGAGAGTGGCCTATACCGGTTCATTTCAACTCACTAATGCCTAGGATATTGATCTTTATGCATTCCATTTCATTTTTTACAACTTCCAATTTTCCTAGATTCATACTTCATACATTCCACGTTCTTGTTATTAACAGATTGTTTTAGACTGGGTTCTCTAGAGAAGCAAAACCAGTAAAGCATATTGTCTTAGTTATCTAGTGCTACTATAACAGAAATATCACAAGTGGCTGCCTTCAACAAAGAGAAATTTATCCTCTCACAGTCTAGTAGGCTATAAGTCCAAATTCAGGGCATCACCTCCAGGGGAAGGCTTTCTCTTCTCTGTCGGCTCTGGTGGAAGATCCTTGTGATTAGTCTTCCCCTGGTCTAGGAGCTTTTCAGTGCAGGGACCCCAGGTCCAAAGGATGCAAGCTCCTGGCTCTGCTTTCTTGGTGGTATGAGGTCCCACTGTCTCTCTGCTTGCTTCTCTCTTTTATATCTTAGAAGAGATTGGCTGTAGACAAAAATCTAATCTTGTAGATCTCATCACCATAACTGCTGCTAATCCATCTCATTAACATCATAGTGATAGGATTTACAACACATAGGAAAATCACATCAGATGACAAAATGGTGGACAATCACACAATACTGGGAATCATGGCCAAGTCAAATTGCTACACATTTTTATTGGAGGACACAGTTCAATCCATCACACACACACACACACACACACACACACACACACACACACACGGAGCTCTGGTGGTGTAATGGTTAAGAATTTGGCTGCTAACCAAAAGGTCAGCAGTTTGAATCCACCAGCTTCTCCTTGTAAACCCTATGGGGCAGTTCTACTCTGTCGCCTCGGATTGTTATGAGTTGGAATCACCTTGACAGCAACAGGGATATATATAGAGAGAGAGAGAGAAATTTGTATCAAGGAAATGGCTAGCACGTTTGCAGAGGCTGGGAAGTCCCAAGTCCGTTCATCAGGCATCAGGCTGGAGGCTTCTGCTGACTCACTTTGCTGCAGAGGCTGACAAATCCAAGATCAGCTGGTAAGGCAGCAGTCTGCTGGCTCAAGTCCCAAGAACCAGAGGTTACTTGATGACAAGCCAAATGCAGGATCCAGAGCAGAACAAAAGCCAGCGAGTTTTTCCAGAAAGTCCATATATACTGGATGCAGGCTACACCCCCAAGGAAACTTCCTTTCAACTGACTGGCTGCTCATAGCAGATCTCATCATGGAGGTAATTACATTATATCAGATCTCATTATGGTGATGATTACATCATTCCATAGCTGCCAAACTACATCATAACTGCCAAACCACTGAGAATATTAATTTCTGGACCCAGGAATCCTGGCTATGGGAGAAACAGCATCATATATTGGATGCTGGTTTAGAGCATATACAGCCTCCTGGAGAATATTGCCCCACCCCTACAAGGTATTGCCACCTAGATGGTGCTGTAATTGTGTATTTAGAAGGCCATTCCATCGTTTTATCAAGCCAGCTGCTTCAAGATGATGGGGAACATGGTAAGAGTAGTGAATTCCATTATCATGGGCCCATTGCAGCACTTCATTGGCTGTGAAGTGAGTCCCTTGATCTGAGGCGATGCTGTGTAGGATACTGTGATGGTGGATAAAGCATTCTGTTAAGTCCACAGGTGGTATTTTTGGCAGAAGCATTGCGTGCAGGGGAAGGCAAATCTGTATCCAGTAAGAACCATGATGGAAGAGGTCCAGTGTAATCAACCTGCCACTAGGTTGCTGGATGATCACCTCGAGGGATGGTGCCATACAGGGACTCAGTGTTGGTCTCTGCTGCTGGCAGTTTAGGCACTCAGCAGTGGCTGTGGCCAAATCGACCTTGGTGAGTGGAAGTCCATGTTGCTGGGCCCGTGCATAACCTCCATCCCTGCCACCATGGCTACTTTGTTCATGAGCCCATTGGGCAATGACGGGAGTGGCTAGGGGAAGAGGATGACTGGTTTCCACAGAATGTGTCATCCTATCCACTTGGTTTTTAAAATCCTCCTCTGCTAAGGTCGCCCTTTGGTGAGCATTCACACGAGACACGAATATCTTCACTTCTTTGGTCCATTCAGAGAAGTCTATCCACATACCTCTTCTCCATACCTCCTTGTCCCCAATTTTCCAATCATATTCCTTCCAAGTCCCTGACTATCCAGCCAAATCATTGGTCACAGCCCATGAATCAGTATACAATTGCACATCTGGCCATTTCTCCTTCCAAGCAAAATGAACGGCCAGGTGCATTGCTCGAAGTTCTGCCCATTGGGAGGATTTCCCTTCACCACTGTTCTTCAGGGAGGTCCTGGAAAGGGGATGTAGTGCTGTAGAACCACTTTTGGGTGGTTCCTGCATATAGCGCAGAACTATCTGTAAACCAGGCACATGTTTTCTCTTCCTCAGTCAACTGACCATAGGGAACTCCCCATGAGGCCATAGGTGCAGACTGGGAGATGGAAGGTAATGTGATGAGGGTGGAGACCACAGGCGTTTGGGCCACTTCCTCATGCAACTTACTGTCCTGCTCAGGCCCAATCTCTTATATACCACTTCCACTTAATGATAGAGTGCTGCTGTGCATGTCCAACTTTATGGCTCTGTGGGTCAGACAACACCTAGTTCATGAAGAGCAACTCAGGCTGCACAGTGACTTGGAAGGGAAAGGTGATCAAGTGGCCTATGGTTAAGCGTTCAGTCTCTACTAAGGCCCAATAACAAGCCGAAAGCTGTTTATCAAAAGGAGAGTATTATCTGCAGAGGATAGCAGAGCTTTGTTCCAAAACCCTAAGGGTCCACGCTGTGATTCACCAATAGGAGCCTGCCAAAGACTCCAAACAGCATCTTTATCTACCACTGACACTTCAGGCACCATTGGACCATTGCACAGCAGACTAAACCTGTTGGAGAGCCTTCTCTTATTCTCAGCCTCACTCAAAACTAGCAGCTTTTCGAGTCACTTGATAAATAGGCCAAAATAGCTCACTCAAATGAAGGATATGTTGCCTCCAAAATCCAAAGAGGACGACTAGGCACTGTGTCTCCT